AAAATAGAGAGGGTTGTGTTTTCTGACACTTGGTGAGTTCCCTGGAACACCGGGGACACATATTCATGTAGAAAAGACAAAATTAAAGTACATTTTTCTCGCCGGAGCAGCGGTGTCACTGATGGGCTACAGGCTGCCGGCCTTGAGTCCATTTCATTCAGAAAAGTGCATTTTGCATGATAGGTCCCCTTTAAATTATGAGAGCCACCAATTTAGACAGAGCTAGCTAGATTGCTAAAATGTGCTAGCTAGCTTGTTAGATCGGTAGCTAATATAAACTAGACAATATGTTAGAGAGAAAGCGAACGGTGGCTAACTCGTAGAGAAGACAGCTTACTTTACAGTAGCTAGCTAGTTTGATATATAGAAAGCAAAGATTCACTAGTTCGCTAGCTAAATAGCAAACAGACAGGTTATTTAGTAAGTAGTCGAGTAATAAGGGGGATAATGTGCTACTTTTGGCTTAGGGTAGGTGTTTTATTTTCACTATTACCTACTTGCTGCATATTATTCGTAACATAATCACTTTACTCTCAAACTTGTTGCAAAGTGCACACTAGTTTTGCCCATTTCCTCTAAAGCTATCCAACTAAACTCCTGTTTCGAAGATAGTTATGTTAGCTGCACTTCAGCTCATATTTGTTGTCCCTGATCAGTTCTGCACTTGTAAAACTCTCGGCGGAGATAAGAAGGACGCAATAAAGCTCACTGCTTAGCCACTTCCCAAACTAAAATGTAATCACTTGCCTGATTTTAAGATGTCTAAATTGTCCTTATTGTTCCTGGACTATCACAGTGTTTGTTTAGCATTGTTTCCCCAGTGTGAGGAGCAGCGGCCAACACTCTGCTTCATTATTTATTAGAGCCGGTCTCACATCACAGCAGCACCGCAATGCTGCATTTACTGCACTGTTGTTCTTTGTATTCACCCGGAAAACCTGCTGTTTCTCTCTGTCTTTCAGCATGTCACTTTTTGTCATACAATCTTTGCCTTTGAATAACTGGATGTAATAATTTGAAACATCTCGCAATCAAACTTCACTTTCTTCTCATCATCATGTACAGTTAATGTCCTGTGTTACTTTTCTCATCGTATTATTAATTCATCTGGAAAGGCACAAAGAAATGTCCTCAGACTGCGATCTCTCACTCACAAAGTGCCGGATTAAATAAAAAAGAGAAAGCATTTCACAGATTTTTCTAAGAAATGGTATTCAGACAAGCATGACATTTCTCCGCTGCTCTGCTCTTACAATACAGGAACCTCTGTCAGGATTTGTCCTTTAGATTCGTTAAAAAGTCATCAGTGAAACCAAATACTGTGAGCGAGTGAGCATTTTAATGAGAAGCCCCAAAACAGGAGCTGACGCATGTTCAAAATGTCAGATTCTGTTAGATTCCCATTGTTTTTATATTTGTGTTTATAGTAAAACACAACCCTGGGAATAAAATCAGGTTTAGCTTCTGGTTGTGAAGCAAGATAATGAAAAAGGTAGGAAATTGGAAACAAAGGACAATGAAGAAGAGAGGAGGGCAAGCTGACTTAAAATGTGTTAAAAAATATCTTTGAACTGTGTTTTCTGTCTTCTTTTCTTAACATCTGTTACTGCGATACAGAAGACAATTAAGTGTAGAAAAGAGCATTAAGAAAATAGAAAATATACAAGTTGACCATGAAGATAAAAAATCTATAAACTGTCTTACAAATAAAACACTATTGAAGAGTCGATTGACAGTAAATACAATATAAAGCAGGATATTATATACATTAAGTGTGTAATGACGTCATCAAATATAGGTGTAAAGACAGACTGCATGCCTAAAACATGAGTCATGAGTTGAATACACAATGCTGATTGGTCAATTTCGAACATTCTGAGATCTGCTCCTTTCCGATAGCAGACCGTTGCTAAGGATAACAGACCGTTGCTAAGGATAACGAACCGTAACTAAGGAGAACAGACCGTTGCTAAGGAGAACAGACCGTTGCTAAGGATAACGGACCACAACTAAGGAGAACAGACCGTTGCTAAGGAGAACAGACCGTTGCTAAGGATAACGGACCGTAACTAAGGAGAACAGACTGTTGCTAAGGAGAACAGATCGTTGCTAAGGATAACGGATTGTAGCCAAGGATAACGGACCGTAACTAAGGAGAACAGACTGTTGCTAAGGAGAACAGACCGTTGCTAAGGAGAACGGATTGTAGCCAAGGATAACAGACCGTTGCTAAGGAGAACAGACCATAGCTAAAGATAACAGACCGTTGCTAAGGATAACAGACGTTGCTAAGGATAACAGACCGTTGCTAAGGAGAACAAACCGTAGCTGTGGCCAAACAAAAAATAGTTTTCTCCATCAGAAAACCGTGGAGTGCTTTTTTTATATTTTTGAAGAGCACATACTGTGGATTCATGATGGCTAAACTCTCTCCAGTAAAGAAAAATACAATCATTGCCAGCTCTGTATAAAGCAACAGAACAAAGAAGCACAAAATCCCTATTTGGAAAGCAACGATCAGTATAAACAGCTCTTGTTTATCACAATAACAATATCTATATTTTAGATCAATCTGGTTTTATTGACCTTCTATCTGCGGAGCCCCCGAGGCGCCTGACAACTGCAGTCTGTCTCCATTATAATCAGCCGGGCACTAAATACATCAACACAAGCAGATGATACAAGCATTCAGCTCATTGATTAGCTTTGTTCATTTCTCTCTCGCTGGTGCAGGAGAGAAAGCTCTGTTACAAAGCAGCAGTGAAGCAGAACATAATAACAATATGTGTCTCATTGTCTCTGCTATCATCAATGAAACAGTGAGAAGACTACAGCCTTCAGTGGCTTTATGTTAGGAAGAAAAACAACAACCATTTCTGCAAGAAAAGTAGATCTGCCACCTCTATAGGTAGGGTCTGCTTTAGTTAAGGAGAGGAGGAGAGGACTCTTTAAAGTAGAGACACTACATACTGATATACACCTGAACATCAGCAGGAGAGGACTCTTTAAAGTAGAGACACTACATACTGATATACACCTGAACATCAGCAGGAGAGGACTCTTTAAAGTAGAGACACTACATACTGATATACACCTGAACATCAGCAGGAGAGGACTCTTTAAAGTAGAGACACTACATACTGATATACACCTGAACATCAGCAGGAGAGGACTCTTTAAAGTAGAGACACTACATACTGATATACACCTGAACATCAGCAGGAGAGGACTCTTTAAAGTAGAGACACTACATACTGATATACACCTGAACATCAGCAGGAGAGGACTCTTTAAAGTAGAGACACTACATACTGATATACACCTGAACATCAGCAGGAGAGGACTCTTTAAAGTAGAGACACTACATACTGATATACACCTGAACATCAGCAGGAGAGGACTCTTTAAAGTAGAGACACTACATACTGATATACACCTGAACATCAGCAGGAGAGGACTCTTTAAAGTAGAGACACTACAGTACATACTGATATACACCTGAACATCAGCAGGAGAGGACTCTTTAAAGTAGAGACACTACATAATGATATACACCTGAACATCAGCAGGAGAGGACTCTTTAAAGTAGAGACACTACATACTGATATGAGCCTGAAATTGAGCATCATAGGGCCCCTTTAAGTATTTTAGGCATGAATACTGAAACAAATATGTACAAAGTACAATAACCCTTACAGTACTACTCCTGTTTCCTTACAGTAACATCTCACAGTGACAAAAGAAGTTCAGGAAATCAAGGAGATTACAAATCCTCCTCATCAAAGCAGATTTTCCGTGAAAGCCTTTAAACATTTCGCCAACATTTGAATACTGGAAGCTAATTTGCACATCAAAGCATCAGCTCTTTCTGCAGCGGTGGCAGGAGGGGGACCAGAAACCAACAAGTGTGTTTAAACACAATAGCTCCCTGTGGAGTGTGTGTGGATTACATCAATAAAAAACTAGTTAAATAAAGACTATTATCTTTGCTGCAACACTTATTCCTCCCTGGTGACTCAGAAAAAATGCCCCAAAAAAAACGTAAAACAAGTGAGAAAGCAACCGTGTGTTATTGCTGAGAGAGCATGGACCTAAGACAAGTCATACATGGGGATAAGTGTGTGTGTGTGTGCGTGCGTGTGTGGTGTGTGCGTGCGTGCGTGCGTGCGTGCGTGCGTGCGTGCGTGCGTGCGTGCGTGCGTGTGTGTGTGAGTGGTCAGGAGTAAATATGAAATGATGCAGCATCTGGTGAAGCCTTTAAGTGAAATATCACTCCATTCCGCTTCGTTTAGCGTCACTTCGTCTGAGTTAATTGGTTCATGAGGAGCACTAATTAAGGGGGATGGTCTTGTTTATCGTCACGCCGACGCTCGTTAAGCCTAGAGATCTTTTTTTTCTTCTGGTTGCTGGTGATATTAACCCACCCTTCACAACATATAATGTAGCAGCTGCATCTAATGCACACACACACAGCTTGACACCACTCAAATGTATGCATACACTGTGTAATGCACTGAAATCACACATTATTATACCCACAGTCAACCACATGTGCGTTGATGATTGTTCAGAAAACACTGAATGTCCTCTTCCAATATGAGAGTAGCATGATAGCAAAGGTATCCCAACTGTAGCTGTGTACATGACAGGATGTATGATTACCTAGAAGAGCATCAGGACTGTTTGAGGCATATGATAGCTATGTGATTAACATGATGATTCAGCCTCTATGGAGATAGACATATGACAAGCATGATCATTTCTGACGTGGAGCTAATCTGAAGTAAACATTGAATACTGCTTTCTATTCCTCCATCTTGTGACTGTGTAACTCCCTCTCTTGGATATCAGCATGTGAAGGACACTGTTCAGGAACTAGTTGATGCTCTGTATGTGATGACTACTTCCATTCTGGAGAGGATCATCAATACATGGATCCTGAGATTGAAGCTCAAGCCGGTGACGAGGGAGATTTTTCTTTAATGATGAAGATGTCCTACCTCTCTGCGTCTCGAGGCCCAGCAGGTCTGTTTGACTTTCCACACCACAGCAGCGACCAGCAGCAGAGAGAGGAAACAGCTGCAGGAGGGGACGAAATATGCAAACAAATGTAAATATCATGCAGAATTTCTCTGATTCAAATGTGGGATAACAACAGGGCAGCACCACCTGCTTAAATGCCTTCAATGTTCAATTGAATATATAATTGTTGGATGTTTCAAATAAGTAATTAATGATACAGAACAACCCGCAACAAAAACCCAAAACATTTCCATTAAGAGAAATGTGCTGCAGTTAGAAACTATTCAAATATAAAAACACAAAACACATGCAGAGCGTTTATTAGAAGTTGCATAAACAAAATGTTTGCAAAACAGAACTGTAGCTACGTTAGCTAGCTAGCTTACAGCAGATGGAGTCATGTGATCACATTGTTAAAATAAGACCATAAAACATTTTAGGTAAGTTTCCAACAACAGAGACAGTTGTTCAGTTTTATAATCCTGAACGTCACCAAGCGCTCCGTCCCAGCTGTGTGCGTCACTCTTTAGTGTCCCCTGGTCTCCCAGCTGTGTGTGTCACTCTTTAGTGTCCCCTGGTCTCCCAGCTGTGTGCGTCTCTCTTTAGTGTCCCCGGTCTCCCAGCTGTGTGCGTCACTCTTTAGTGTCCCCTGGTCTCCCAGCTGTGTGCGTCACTCTTTAGTGTCCCCTGGTCTCCCAGCTGTGTGCGTCACTCTTTAGTGTCCCCTGGTCTCCCAGCTGTGTGCGTCACTCTTTAGTGTCCCCTGGTCTCCCAGCTGTGTGCGTCACTCTTTAGTGTCCCCTGGTCTCCCAGCTGTGTGCGTCACTCTTTAGTGTCCCCTGGTCTCCCAGCTGTGTGCGTCACTCTTTAGTGTCCCCTGGTCTCCGTTGTGTTTTGAGCTTCTTAAACGACAGCTTGTTTCTCTAAATGGAAATGTTTTGGGCCGATGTAGAGTGTTTGTTTGCACCTGTTGGCCACCACACATGGTCCAATAATTAGCCATAACAACTTATTGATGAACAACAACAGTTATTGCAAGAAAAAGCACAAACAATGCATGTTTTCGTGTAGTAATCATCCTTTGCAGTTTCCGTTTGAGCTTATGTTTGTATGCATCTTTTCTGTCATTACTTTATTTACAGTAACTCAACTTAGGGGCACATTTAAAATAACATCTACTTAAAGCTTGTGTTACTCTTTGTAGTTACGCTGAAACAAAAACACCTTCAAGTGCAAGAAGAAATAAATAAATCACACAACCACGAAACAGTGTGTTCACACTCGTTCACTGTGCTCCACTTTCTGCAGAGAGGAGAGAAACTCTCAGAAGATTTGAGGCGAGATAATAAACCGCCGTGACCACAGGCAGCCGGGGGTTTCAGGGCAGACAAGGGCGGTGAGAGGTCAACGAGCGACATGATGCTCCCTCACAAAGAACAAGGTCCACACACACACACACACACACAGACACACAGACACACACTCTGACGGTTCAGTGTCTGCAGGCCAGAGTTTTCAGTGCACAAAGCTCCTCTCTCAAACCAGAACTTCTGACAAGACCTCAAAACAAGCGCGCCCAAAGAAGAGAAACTGCTGAACACAGCAACTTCGGAAACAATCCTCCTCTTCATCTGTCCGTGTGTGTGTGTGTGTGTGTGTGTGTGTGTGTGTGTGTGTGTGTGTGTGTGTGTGTGTGTGTGTGTGTGTGTGTGTGTGTGTGTGTGTGTGTGTGTGTGTGTGTGTGTGTGTGTGTGTCCTCCATGTGTCTCTATGAGGAGATGATTGTGAAGGGTATTAGTGCCGTAATGAGTGTGACATTTTCAGAAGCGGTCTACAAAGAGGCGACCACATCGACCTCTGAGCTGCACTCAGACACTTCACTCCACTTCAGGAAACCCCCTCCTTTTCCTTATTGGATGAAAACCGTCAACACTGTAACTTCCGACCGTTTGAACTTCCAGTTGGTGACGTTCAGGATTATAAAGCTGGACAACTGTTTCTGTTGTTGGAAACTCACCTACAATGTTTTACGGGCTTATTTTAACAATGTGATCACATGACTCCTTCTGATTTTGGCACATTAATGTTTTTTTATTTGCATCATTTTTGAGACTGCAGCGTGTTTCTCTAAATTGAAATGTGCATGGCCGTTGTAGAATGCAACCAAACATGGTCCGGTTGTGTCGTAGCTGCACCTGATGGACACTTATTTTGGCTGCACCTGGACAACTTGTGTGTGACATCCTCCTGGATCCATCTCTACGATCATTTGTGTCATTTAGTTGTTATTTTATTATTTAGTGTAATCTATACACACGACATCTATTGCACGTCCTGTGAAAGCGATCCTCCTGTTTCTCTACCCAAGGTTTCTTACAGTTTTCCCCGATAATTGTGGGGGGTTTGGGGATTGTTTCCTGTGAAGGTTTAAGGCCGCTACACACCCACCTGAGACCAAAGAACGCGTACCGAAGGCGTCCCGACTTTTACGTCAGCTACGTCGCCTGCGTCGGCCACGCCGCCCGCCTACGAACACACCGCAAATACTTCAGTCGACGAGTGGCAATAACTGTCCTTACCAGGCAGCGGTAGTGTGAACAGCCAATCAGAGTGATTGCTTGGGCCGACTTTCTCTGACCTCTGGGAGGTGTGAAAAGGTGCCGTAAAGAGACGACGGTGCGGGACACACCAACCTGAGTAGGGCGCCGCGAATGCCCGACTGCCTCTGACGGCCTCTGACTCCCAAAATCGGGTTGGTGTGTAGCCAGCTTTAGGCCGAGGATTGTGTAAGATGTACAAAGTGTAAAGCCCATAGACTTATGTGTAATTTGTGATATTGGGCTAATTACAAACACATTATGTTGAGGATTTGTCTACTTTAAAGAGGTTAAAAATATTTATGTATTCTGACTTCTTATCCGTCAAGAGAGAGATCAAATTACTGTTCACCCAATCCCGAATACAAAAATACGAATATATATAAAAGTATCTATAAGTATCTGCAACCTGTTCCTGAATGCATCGTCTTGTCTCTTTAATATGTAGCTCTTTGTGGTGTCTGTTTGTGCAGCAATATCTATTTTTGAATGAGTGCAATTGAATTTCACTGCATTATTATAATAAAATGTTACAATTATTCTACTTTCTTGCACAGTTGTGCCTTTACGAGGACCCCCACTACACTGAACACACCCCAGAACAATTACATACAAGATTACAAGACAAATACAGTTACTAAATGCCTCTGAATGATTTTCTGTCCTCTGGCTGGGATTCAAATCCAATCAGGCCCTAAAACCCCCCGTTCAGTCGGTATTATCTCCGCCTCGCCGTTAATGCGCTCAGCTCAGCCAATGGAGCGCAGCGGCTAATTGTTGCTATTACCGAGGCATAAGGGAGGAAGATGAAGAGGGGGGGGAGAGGAGGGGAGGGGAGGGTAACACTCCACTGAGCCTCCTGATAGGTGCAGATTTAAAGGTCTCCTATTATGCTGTTCTTCATTACTTTATTTTAGGTCTCAGATATATCCAGAGCCTGTCTCTGATTGGCTGAAACACCAAACAGATCATTGCAGCATCCCATAATCCCCTCTGTTTGAGCCCTGTTTCCAAAGTGCTGATTCTCTGTCTGTTACTTTAGATGAAAATAAGGAGCCCCTCCCCACGCCCCTCTGAGAGAGATTTGGTTACAAAGAACTCAATGGTGCTCTAGGAGGAGATTCAGGTGATAAGGGGGGGGGGGGGGGGGGGGTTACCTTGGTTGGTGATTGGCTAATGGTGACATGAAGAAGAGGGGACACATGTTGATGTAGAAGAGACATGAAGAAGAGGGGACACATGTTGATGTCGAAGAGACATGAAGAAGAGGGGACACATGTTGATGTCGAAGAGACATGAAGAAGAGGGGACACATGTTGATGTAGAAGAGACATGAAGAAGAGGGGACACATGTTGATGAAGAAGAGACATGAAGAAGAGGGGACACATGTTGATGTAGAAGAGACATGAAGAAGAGGGGACACATGTTGATGTCGAAGAGACATGAAGAAGAGGGGACACATGTTGATGTAGAAGAGACATGAAGAAGAGGGGACACATGTTGATGAAGAAGAGACATGAAGAAGAGGGGGACACATGTTGATGTAGAAGAGACATGAAGAAGAGGGGACACATGTTGATGTAGAAGAGACATGAAGAAGAGGGGACACATGTTGATGTAGAAGAGACATGAAGAAGAGGGGACACATGTTGATGTAGAAGAGACATGAAGAAGAGGGGACACATGTTGATGTAGAAGAGACATGAAGAAGAGGGGACACATGTTGATGTAGAAGAGACATGAAGAAGAGGGGACACATGTTGATGTAGAAGAGACATGAAGAAGAGGGGACACATGTTGATGTAGAAGAGACATGAAGAAGAGGGGACACATGTTGATGTAGAAGAGACATGAAGAAGAGGGGACACATGTTGATGTAGAAGAGACATGAAGAAGAGGGGACACATGTTGATGTAGAGAGACATGAAGAAGAGGGGACACATGTTGATGTAGAAGAGACATGAAGAGGGGACACATGTTGATGTAGAAGAGACATGAAGAAGAGGGGACACATGTTGATGTAGAAGACACATGAAGAAGAGGATTTTGCAGAACAGGTGACCTTTAAAACGGTGCAGCCACAGGTCAAATCAAATCAAATCAAAATGTATTATAGCCCCAAATCACCAAAAATGCCTCAAAGGGCAAACAACAGCAAAGACAAAAACAAATACAAACGTCGTAGCATAAAAATTATAAAAACATTATACGACAACATAAGTATTGCCCTATAATAAAAGCATGTGACAGAAGTGATGCTAATGTAGATATAAAGGTAACAGCAATCGAACAGCCGGGGAATGAGTCCGTGAGAGAGTGTGTGTACATGTGTGTGTGTTCCTGCTGTTTTAAGTGGTGGCTTAGTTTAAACAAGGATCAACACACACGTGAAGGAGAACACATCTGAGTGCTGGCGGGCAGAGTGTAAAATCAAAAAGCTATTCGTTGAACATGAGCCA